CCCAGCACTGTGACTAGTGGTTTTGCCATGGATGGAGAATGGTGTCATTTTGCCCCATATTTGCCATCCCTGGACTAGAGGGAGACAGATGAGGAGACTATTGGAATAGCTTTGATAAAAGGTAATCAGAAATGTTTGGTAGGGTTTCTTCGGCTATATATAACAACTTACCGTAGAATAAATAGCACATTGGAAATGGATGCAAAGGTATTGCTGAGGTAGAATCTTCTAGATACAGGCTCTGATTCGTTTAACAAAAATATGTAGTGGCCAAAAGAAGTTGGGGGTATAAGAATAAGATACAAACTCTACTCTCGGGGAACTCACAACCTGGAGGAGAGAAAGCCATGGTGAAGACAGTTGAGAATGTGGTGATGGATGCACAGAGGGCTTCCTGGAGCCATCTGAGGGCAAAGCATTAGTGACAGCAACAGAGCTAGCGGTGCGTGTCAGAAAGGCCGGGGCTGGGGTGCAGCCTGGGGAAGAGGGGTTAACGTTCCAAGCAGAGCATAAGGAACAGCATGCTGCAGAGTGTGAGGCAGCAGCTGTGAGAGCTGCATGGGGCCCAGTGATGAAGGTCAAGCGGTCCGTGTTGAAGACCTTAGAGTGTGCGCTGTGGCTGAGGGCATCTAAGGTCAGGCAGGTCACTGAGGTGGTGTGATTGCTGCATGTACAGGAAAGCAGGCTGGAGACTAGTAGTTCTGAAGCTGGTGTGGTTGTCCGGGTGCTAGAGGACGTGTGTAGGGCAGTGAGAGTGAGAAACAGAACTGACTGGATGTGGGGAGTGAGGGAGGGTGATTGTGAGCTCTGTGGCTGTAGGATGGGTAAATGGTGGAGCCAGAAAGGGGGCTGAAGGCCAGAGGAGGATTTGATAAGGGCAGTGGTGAATTTGCTTTTTAAATTATGAGTTTGAGGTACTTGTGGCATCTCCACGTACCATCAGCCCACAGGCTGTTGACTACAGATGTGAAGCCTGGGATGGACGTCCAGGCTGTAAATGCCGATTTGGAAGTCAGCACTTCCGTGGCCTGAAATCACATGAGTAGATGGAGCTCACTTGGGGAGGACATCAAGAACACACGCCGTGGCTTGGGAACACCACCCGGATGGAAAGACTAAGTGCAGGTACAAGAGAAAGAGGAGGCCATGCCAAGGGGAGCCAGGCCATTCAGGGAACAAAGGGAGGTTTGACTGACAGGCAGCAGAGGTGACCGAGAGCAAGAAGGGATGTGCATCAAGCTGCTCGGGTTGGAGGAGGAGGAAGAGGGAGCTAGAGAGGAGCTGCTGATAAAAATGGGGAGTCAGAAAAGGAGGTAGCTCGCCACGTATTCTCATTAAGTAGATGACTCAGTTTGTGGGTGTTATGCTTTAAATCACATTTGACAGGCAGCTGGAACTTAAAGTTGTAGCTCAAAGGACAGGTTGAATTAGCGGTATGGATTTGAGCCATTTGCTGAGAAATACAGATTAGATAAAACTTTGGGGAAGTCTTTTAGAGGGCAGGAGGGGAGAATTGGCCAAATCATCATCACAGCGGGAGGAATGTGATATAGTTCCTGTGAACTCTGCCTCCCTCCGGTACAGAGGGGTCTGAACTTGGGGAAGGTCCTTAGAAGGAAGGCTGCTGTGTAAGTGGCCCCGCTAAGACTGTGCCAGCCCCATTCTGTCTTCCTCCTCCAAATTGTTTTTATCATCCCGGTGTTCGATCCCCATCAGCTGGGGTCCGTGTTAAGATTCAGCCAATGAGAAAATGTTGAAGTGTGTCTTCTTGGGAGTTGAAAATGAATTTTCACAGGAGGCTGAGAGAATCCTCTGAGCTGGAGACCTCACGAATGTAAAACTCTCCATGCTCAGGGGGAGGGAAGTCTGGTGGCACCTGATCATTTCACAGGCCCTTACGTCCAGGAGAAAAAGACTGAAAAGTGACAGTGGAGAGACAGCAGCCGTAGGACCTGTGTGGGCCAAGGCAGGTGCAACAGGGGTGGGACTTCTGGCCCAGGGGCTCCTGCTGTCACGGAAGGACTGGCCGTGGCCTTTGGTGAGGGAGGGCCATGTGTATGGCTAAGGCTGTGGCACATCCTGGGTCAAAGGACGTTCGGGCGCAGGGACATTTCTCCCTAGTGCCCCTCTGGATTCCCTTGTTAATCCTCTCCCCACCCTACACGGCAGCAAGACAGACTGAGCCCCAGGTGCAGCTTTTCCAGGAGAAGTTTATTAGGGGGGCATTTAGAGGGGAAGAGGAGGACAGAGGGGACAGATCTTTAACCATAGTACAATGCTTAACCAGGTGCTCTGCTCTTACGATACAAAAGTTAGAAAAAAGCTAAAACACTATAAATACGTACATGCTTTTTACAAAGGTATTAAAAGGTCAGGCTGGCTGAGAAGTGAAGGTGACCGACTTCGTCCATGCTCTGTTCCTGTCCCAGGAGCCCCGGCCTGAACAGCCTCGTTGCGGGAGGAGGAGGAAGGCGTCTGGGAGAAGGGGCTCCAGCCTTCCATGTGAAGTTCTCTCCCCGCCCCCGGCAGGCGAGGCTCGGAGCTGCCTGCTGTCACACGCCTGGCGAGCCTGGGCTGCTGTGTCTGGATGCTGAGCCAACAAAAGCCGCTGCGCCCTCACCCCACATCGGAACTGGCAGTGCCTCCAGCTCTTCCCCGCCACTGGCTCTGGGAGGAGAGAGACCTTTCCAATTTTCTTCAAGAAAATTAAATAGTCGTCTTGAGTAGTTACTATATAAATATAAAACACCAGGATGCGAGAGTGTACATTACTTGAGCATAAAATCAATTACAGAATTACTGAGAATTTCTCGATCCAGTTTACATGATAGGCAAGTTTGTTTCTGCAGCGCTGGCTGGATGTCCGGTCCTTTCCACTACAGATGCCCTTCCACCAGAGATGCCTCCTCTTCCTTTTTGATCCGTGTCCTCTGTAAATTTTTCTACTTTCCCACCCACTTGAGAAGCAGCTGATGCTCTGTAAAAGGGTGATGTACATGTTGAAGGCAGTTACTTGAAGGGATTCTGGAGGGGGACGCTTATGCCACACAAAGAAAAATGGTACAGCTTAGAGTCCTCGTTGCAGATTTTGGGAAAACGCCTCCACTCTGCCACCTCAAGTCACACAGTAAGGCACAGGGTCCAGAACGAAACTCATGCCCTCTCTTGCTACTGGAAACCCCTGGTAAACAGATCCGTGAGCTGTTTGCGGGTTCCTCTCCTCTCCATCTTTTTCCAACTAGACAGCGTGGCCTAATGGGGCTCTCCCCCTGCGGAGACCTAAAGGGCAGCTAAGGATGAAGTCAGAGAGCTGCCTTCTCCCCAGACTGCTCATACATGCTGACATGCACACACTACTTAAAAACCTGTTTCTGCGGTCTAAGGAAAAGCATTCAGCCTTGGAATCCGTCCACACTCTAGGAAGTCAAGGGGAGATGGAGCAAGAAAAACTAAGCACGAGATGCGTGCTCCAGCTCATTCCAATACATTAACAAGGATTTTTTAAAAATCATGGTCAATAAGAAAGTACAGCACAGACAACATAAGGACAATGGGAAAGTCTGCCAGCAGCCTTGCCCTCGTGTGTGTTCTAAGAGTCAAAAGTCCCTGCTCCTGACTCCAGGCTTGTCTCAAAATGTCAGGTCTGCAGCCCGCCGGGAAGCTGGCCAGCTGAGATGATGTTCCAGCACAGGCCTGTAACCGGAACCGCCGGGCGCCTCCCTGTGTGTGCGCTGGAAGGACCGAAGTTACTAAATAAAGTTTGGAAGGGGGAGGAGGGGAGAGGGAATAGAAGTTGGCTCCCGGAGGAGGTGCTGAGGCCCTGCGCCCCAGGGCTAGCTCCTCGGGGCTGCAAGGTGAAGGCAACCTGGTGGGGAGCCTGGACAACTGCACTTAACTGCTCCCTAACAGCTACTGTCACCCCTAGAACTGCCCTTGTTTCTTCTTGCGCCTTTCAACTGTCCCTTAAAAAAGTGTTTAAATGTATAAATGCCTTTCATACAACAGGACTTTAAAAATATAAATAGTTCTGTGACAAAGAAAGGACACTGTTGTTACACATGCCCCAAAGCACCTGTGGCCGGAGCGGCCAGGCCCGACCGCCTTCCGTGGTGCCAGAGGTGGCTTACCTGCATCTTCCTCATGCTGCCTCCCACAGGAGTCTAGTCTACAAAGAAAAAGGACCACGTACGTAGCTGTCAGAAAAACACACAGCATCCAGGGTTCTAAGGCACCAATCCCAATACAGCCAAACGTGACCGTTCAATCGCCAAAACTTGGCCTGTACCTGAAGCTAAGTTGCCGAGTACCTACAGGACAGCGGGTGCCCGAGGAAGCCCTCAGGGTCAGGCAGCAGGTGGAGAGTGCGGGCCCTCAGGAACCGACGCCCATGGCTTTGGGGAGAGGCCACAGTGGAATAATGCACACAAGTCAGACCTGACCTCGAGCAAGGCTGCACATCCAGGGGGTTCGGACAGTCTCCTGCGCCGGTAAGCAGCGGTCCACAGATCCTCCCACACCAGGCACAGACGTCACAGTGTGTGGCCCTCGGGTGGAATGAGGAGCTTTGCATTGTCTCTGGGTTCTGTCGACAGCCCCATGAGAAGACTAGCACGGGGTCGGCAAGGTGCTGCTCCCCGTCTGTCTCTTCCCGTGTCCGTGGGAGGCGTGGTGAGCAGCTCCTACTTGGAAACCTCAAGGCTGGAGCTTCGGAGGCGTAGGATCCTGCAGACGAGGCTCTGGCAAGCCTCCAACGTTGCCACGCAGCATCGGAAATGTCATCACATTTGGGGTCGATAACCTGCCAAAGTATGTACGTCTTTCCCTTCACCTGGAATTAAGACGGGACTTCCATAGGAAATCCCTTTATTTTTCCTGGTAGAAATTCATGCAAAAATATGGGATAAGTCATTTCGTATAAAAACAGCAGCAAAGAATAAAGTACCAATTGCAAGTAGCAATGCTGTCTGCTGTATTCTGCAAAAGGGCTTTTTTTTTTTTTCTTTCCAGTTGAAATAGTTCATAATACAGTTGAAATAATTCATAATAATTTTCTCACTAACTGGAGTAGTACTCATTACACAATCTAACTGCTAGAGTTGTCGCTGATAATCCTCTACCCCAGGGGAAAGAGGACAGACCTCTTTGCACCGAGCCTGCAATTTTCAAAGGTGTAAAAAAAAAAATGTCAATAGCCCTTTCATTTGCCTACGTTGGCCTGAGATTTCCCCTCCGGTGAACCGCTTCTGTTTATTTCAGCTTCCAAAACTGCTGGCAGGTGTCTTGTCAACAAAACCTGCCGAAGCTTCACCTTGGGGGAGATGTCGCCAGGTCCCTCTCTGGGTTCCAGTCAGTGCGCCAGCCCAGGATTTAAGTATAAAACAAACATTTAAAGGGCACATGACAAAGTTCATTTAATTAATGCAATGGACTACACACACCAATGGCTGGACGCACGAGAATGTGAACTGAGCTCTTAGCCTGGGACCCACGCAGCGCAGTGCTGCCTTCACCGGAACGCCATCACTCCACACCACGCCTTGCTTCCTGTGAATACTTCACGTAAGTCAGATCTCAGATTCATGTGATAAACTATACATGGCATGTGCACTGAGCCTCGGCAGATTCTTCTGACCGTTCCAAGTGAGAAAGGACACATGTAAGAGTGTTTTGAAAGAGGTCTCTCTCACCAGCTCTTCCCACTGCCCCTGCGTGGTCTGAACGCTGCTGGCTCCACCAATCCGTTTGCTCTGAGGGGGAGGAGACCACAAGCCCCGCCCAGCCCCAAGTCGGCCCAGTTCCCAGTGCAGGGTCTGTGGGGGGAGTGCTGGGGCTCGTGTGCTCAGCTCAAGAGGCATTTGTCAAAAGCGCCGGAGGCTTGGGCATGGGGTTTGCTCACACCCCTGCAGGCTTGTCCCTACCTAGAACACCCAGGGTGAACTCCACACTCCAGTCCTGCACAGAGGGCCTTTGCCTGGTGACAGTGCCATCCCAGACTGCTGTCATTCAGAAGGAAGGGGGCCGGGGGCAGGTGGTGACGCTACCTGTTGGCTCAAGCCACCAAAGCAGAAGGCATTTCTTGCCCTTCAAAATGGGGCCAGAGGGCAAATGTTGAGCAAACAGCTGTTCATAAAATCCATCTCTGGGTTTGCTTTTGTGTGTTGGAGAACAGGTTGGCGCGCCACTTTGGCTGAGGGAGGAAAATGTCTTCTTCCTTGACAACGGTGAGTTGAGTCGAGTTCCAATTTCCTCCACCTCCTCTGTGGCCATTTCCCCCAAGCCCGCCCTCCCTGTCACCCACCGTCTCTAAGACACACTGGAACAGCGGATGCTTGGGGAGCCCATCTGGGTGAGGACCTTGTCAAGCCACTGCAAAGGCCCATTCAGGTGCAGCTCGATCCAGCAGGGGGTGCTGGTCACTGTCTGTCTCCTACAAGACATGGGGGAAGGGGGAGAGGAGGGAGATAATTAAAACGTCCAGAAGGACACACAGATCAGTACACCTTTTCCTACTTTGGTGGCAGCCTTCTCCCCAGAGTCAGAGGTAGATCCTGCCCCGCCAGACCCTGAGCACCCTAGAGGAGGCGCCAGTCACTGGCGGAATCTGCCTTGCCAAACTCTTCCGACCAAGGAGACCTCTGAGTGAATCGGGTTCTCCTGATGGGGAAGGAGATGGCCCTTAAAGAGTTAAGTGTGGCCAAAACTGGTTTGGCTCAGTGGATAGAGCATTGGCCTTCGGACTGAAGGGTCCCAGGTTCGATTCCGGTCAAGGGCATGTACCTTGGTTGCGGGCACATCCCCAGTACGGGGTGTGCAAGAGGCAGCTGATCGATGATTCTCTCTCATCGATGTTTCTAACTCTCTATCCCTCTCTCTTCCTCTCTGTAAAAAACCAATAAAATATATATATATATATATATATATATATATATATATATATATATATATATATATTTTTTTTTTTTTTTTTTTTTTAAAGAGTTAAGTGTGGAAGGCAAATTCCAGGGCACCCCAGAGGCCCACCCATAGCTTGTGAGGGGCCCCCGACAGCCTTCAGCCTGAGCAAAGGTCTCCCCAGGTCCCCTCTGTCCTGAATGGGCGCCTCGGTTGCCCACGTCCGGCCCCGGCCCAGCCCCGGCGGGCCGCGATGACGTGTGTCTGTCTGATTGAGGGGTGTTTTTTACAAAGCGCCGACAGAGTCCGCATGCCGCCGGCTCCCAGTGTGCTGATATAATTCCCATCTAGGGCCTTATTTTGGAAAATCTTACCAGCAGCGCGAGCCATGAAACAATTACTGGAAAAAACCAGGGCGCACCACACGTTTCTTCCCCCCAGAGCACTTCGTCTGCATCCAGGCGGGCGGGTGACGCAGCCGCAGGCGCGCTCCCAAAGCCTCCGCCAGGCAAAGGCTATCTGCTGCCGGCGCCCTGCCAGCTGGAGGTGAGAGCCTGGGCCCCGGCCTGCTCTGGGCCATCTCACAGAGGGAAGGCATGAAACCCTACCCTCCTTGGCCCGGGAGGCAGCAGGAGGGCAAGGCTGTTCTGGGAAGGGGCCGCACCCACCAGTTAGGCCGCCCTGTGGCGCTGCCAGGTGGCAGTGACGTGGTGGGCCGCCGGGGACTGGGTGTGCTGGCACCTCGTCCAGCGCGGTGACACAGTGCCCCCAGAGAATGGCCTCCGCTACCAAGGGGCCTCTTCCCAGCACTTGAAGCCGAGGGCGGTGGTGCCACGCCAGGTCAAGGGCCGCTGGCCTCCGGGCACCGCCCTCCTTGCCTCACCCCAGGGGAGGGCGAGAAAGGAGCTCACCCACTCACCCTGGGTGCCTGCCTGACCTGGGGGCCTGCGGGTGGCCCTTGGGGCTGCCGTCTGATGTCGAAAGAACAGACGGACCCCCCTCCGGTTCTTTCCCATTGGGCCCATCTTTACACGTTTCCCTTCCCCAGTAAAACAGATGTATTACTTTTCTAACCTTCCAATTCTCAGTCCCCAAGCGATGTTAGCCAGGGCTAAAAGGTGAGCTAAAAGGTCCCTTGGGCGAGGCCTCTGGGCCTGGGCTAATCTCAGGTCATTATAACTGTGTGGAGAGTGCTCCTGGGGCCTGACCCCTTTAATTGCTCCATCGGCCATTCCTGGGTTTCAGGGAGACCCCCGCAGACCGAGGCACCATGTTCCCTGGCACGGAGGGGCTTACAGGGAACAGCAGCTAGAAAATGGGAGAGGAAGATTTCACGGACCCAAATCCTCTAATGAGAATCTGACTTTCCATAAGTCATGCTCATCTGGATTTCATTATAAACGGTGGCCCGGAGCCAATACTGAAATGGGTTTGGCTTGGGTGCAGAATGACTGCAAAACAAAATGGATTCCAAACATCTGGAAAAATGAAGAGACGGGGGGAGTAACTTGCAAGGCGCTGCTGGCTCCTGCTGATGTGTGGGTACCTCTGCGTCTGCCTCTGGAGCTGGGGGCGAGTGACCGGGGGTGGGGGGGGGGGGTTTGAGCAGGAGGAGGGGTCCGCAGCCCTGCCTCTCAGGAGACTCCTGTCCAGGTGTGAATGAGAAGGGCCTGGATTCTCTGAGCCCAAACCCAAGGGATCTGAGAGCCTCCGCAGAGCAGACCAGGACAGCCCTGGCCTGTGTTAGGTGAAAGCAGTATCTGAAATTCTGAGAGACACCGTTTCTCTTCTGAGCAAGTCAGCTTTGTTCCTCCATGACTACCCAGATGTCCTGCTTCTCAGTTATTTAATGTCCCAGGTGCTCAAGGTCACCAAGTCAGAGATGGAGCCACAGAGGCTGGAGGGAACAAGGAGATGAAAAGATGACTCCCCGGAGAGGTCCTGCTAGACCATCTGTCCGAAATGAACCAGGAAGCCAGGAGGGTGCCACCTGGGGTCAGCCCTTCCGCGAACGATGTGGCTTTGGGCGAGTCATTTTCCGTCCCCAGGCCTCAGCTACCTCCACCACATAGCCTGCCAATGCAGGGTCCCGCCCGGGGGAGTGTGAGGTGGCGAGGAGCACATGTGTCTGAGGCCCTGGGCCAGCACAGCTCCGCTCTGATCAGCCTGCAGGCCGTGGCCTCTCTGATGGCCGCCTCTGTCCTTGGGGCGAGGGCTGGCCTGGCTCCGCTCTGAGGGGGCCCTACTCTCCTGTGCGGAGGCCCCCGCCGTCCTTTGGCCCCGGGACATGCGCCCCTCAGTGCTGACCTGTACTCGGCTCCCCAGCCTTTGACGAAGCTCATGCGAATGGTGCACATGCGTGTCAGCTGGTAGACGGCCTCGAAGCCCTGGTTGACAGACTGAGCCAGGAGGGCAGCGAACTCCTGGTTGTTGAAGATCTTCAGGTTGCATCCTGCCAACAGAACAAAAACGGTGCTGAGGCCGAAACTGGTTTGGCTCAGTGGATAGAGCCTCAGCCTGCGGATTGAAAGGTCCCAGGTTCGATTCCAGTCAAGGGCATGTACCTTGGTTGCGGGCACATCCCCAATAGGGGGCGTGCAAGAGGCAGCTGATTGATGATTCATCAATATTTCTAACTCTATCCCTCTCTCTTCCTCTCTGTTAAAAATCAATAAAATATATTTAAAAACAAAAACAAACAAACACACACACACACACACACAGACACAAAAAACGGTGCTGAGGATGAAGGGCGGGCATGTCCAGCGCTCCCCTCCTGGCTGAAACCACTCTGGGTCACCGGAAGGAACTAACTTGACCCTCCTCCACGCTCGGCACCCTGCCTGAAGCCGTGCCACCTCCATGGGGGAACCCCGGCACAGGTGAGGGGGAGCATGAAACACTGGTCTGCAAGCTCCAGGTCCCAGAGCTGCGGGAACTTGGGGGGAGGCAGGACAGAGGGCCACCAGGAACAGAGGGGAGGGCTTGGAGAGGGGGCCTGCCCTGGGCTAAGGGAACAGAGACGAGGGATCTGAGCCCGCATGCCCACGGCTATGTGGGGTCTGGCCGACCACCTGGGGAAAATGACCCCTTGTCATTCGACAGAGGGATGCCGGCGGAGACAGGCCAGCTGAAAGCTACGCCTGCCATCCCATCCCAAAACTCATCCTGGGTCCCAAGGCGCCTCCCGCCAGCTCCTCTGCGTCCACCTCACATTGGGGCCAGGAGGGAGGGAGCGGTCTGGGCCCCATTTTGGCCTCGGGGCAGCAGGCTGGGTCGGGGTGACATTCACAGCTAAGTGAAGGTGTGTGTCTAAGTCTGCAGTCAGTAAAACGAGAGACAGGCACAAATAAAGTTTATGGCAAAGATCTCGTTTGAAGTCCTGCCGCCTGAGTGCCAGGAATGTGTTCACCAGAAAAAAACACAAAGACAAAAGCACATGTTGGAGGTGCCAGAAAGGTGGGCTGAGGTGACACTGGTTAACGGGGCCACAGGAGGCTCCTCAGCTTGCCAGGTGACTCTGGGCTGGTCACCTTCTCTTTGTAAGCGGGCGTCTCCTTTATAAAACGAGGGGCTGGCCTCAGAGGACCCTGAGCAAGCGCTGGCATTCTATGAGCGGGCAAACACCACCACGGCCAGCTCAGCCCTCGCTGCACAGATCGGGGGAGGAGGGGGGGGGGGGCTGGTGAAGAGAGTGGGCAGAATGCCAAGAATGCAACCCCGCTTCCTCCTCTAGCTCTCTCCAAGGGGTGTGTGTGTGTGTGTGTGTGTGTGTGTGTGTGTGTGGTGAGGTAGGGCCAAAGTAGGCTCCAGATGAGCTGAGCCAAACAGAGGAGCACGAGGCTCGGGAGTCACGCAGTCAGTCCTGGGTCCACCTGGCTCAGCCACTGACTAGCTGTGCATTGTAGGCAGGTGGCTTAACCTCTCTGAACGGGTCTCCTCCATATGCCTCCTCACCAGAAGGGCCAGAACAACTGGGGAAGACTGACAGCAGAGATAGAAATGGACTCTGTCCACACAGCCACACCACGCTCTGGGATCGCAGAGCACTTATCATTCCACTGTCTCTGGGTCCCAGCATTGGCTTTGCCCAGGACCCAGGGTTCCACTCTCATCTGCTGCTCAGTGGGCAGGAAAAGACAAGCCACACCTGCTTCAGTCTTCAGCCTGACCAGGACCAGCTGGTCACGGCTCACGCTTTGTGGGCTGTGTGCCCCGTGAAAAGTGGGCTTTGGCTGGGGCCGTCTGCCTCCCTGTTCTAAGGAGGCCTTAGCCGGGATCAGCCTCCTGCCTGGTCTTGCTCCCCAGGCCCAGGCCTGACCAAGCCACCCTGTGGGGGACACAGCTTGATACCCCTTCCTGGGGTACAGGTGGGATTCATCAGCCCTGCGCAGAAAGCCCTCAACAGGCCCCGGCTGGTTTGGCTCTATGGATAGAGCATCGGCCTGTGGACTGAAGGGTCCCGGGTTTGATTCCAGTCAAGGGCACATGCCCTTGGGTCAGATCAGACCAGGTTGCAGGCTCCATCCCCAGTAGGGGGCATGCAGGAGGCAGCCAATCAATGATTCTCTCTCCTCATTGATGTTTCTATCTTCCTCTCTCTTCCTCTCTGAAATCAACAAAAATACATTAAAAAAGAAAGAATTCCCTCAGCAGTTCCCCAGAATAAAAGCAAAACTTTTATGTCCTTCCATGGCGGGGTCCCCTCATGCTTTCTAAACACCTCTCCTGTCTTCTACACGGCCTCGCCTCCAGCCAGGCGCTGCCCCTGTGTGCCTACCCTCCACCCCTCAGCCTGGAACCCCTCACCATCCTCCCCCCTCATCGCCCCGTGCCTACGCCTCTCCTCCCCAAGGGCATCCCTGATCCACACCCACAGGTAAACGCTTGTCCTGCTCTTGCACACTCGGCTGGCGTGAAAGGACCGTGGAGACGGCAGCAGGGCCCTGCACCCACCGTCCCCTGCAGCACCACCTGCTGTGCCTGCTGTGGAAGGAAGGGAGGAAGGAAGGGGATGCCGGAGCATCCACACACACAGGACCCTGAGCAGGTCCCTCCGATGCTGTGTCTGCTCCCTGGAGAGCCAGGGAGAGCAGAAGGCGAGGCTCAGAGCAAACCCAGATGGAGCACCTGCAGGTTGGCGATGCCAACCGTGAGGAGGAGAAAACATCAGGGAAACAGCAACCCAGGCACCCGCCAGGGGGAGAGGCGCTCAGAGAGAGGGCATGTGCCGGTGCGGTTACCTGGTGGGATCTTGCAGACGGTGGCGGGGTGCCAGCCATAGCGCTGGTTACAGTTGGGGGACTGCACGAAGATGGCGCTGTCGCTGAGGCACTCTGCGAAGACCTCCCCTCCGATGTAGTACAGCCGCACGCCTCGCCCTGCAGAGACTCGGGTCAGACCAGACCTGGGTGCCCGGCCCCGCACGGTGGCCCAGGGCCGGCTGGGCTGGCACAGGGGCAGAGCCAGCGAGGCTCCTGGTTCCTCCCAGCTTCACCGGGCACGGGGGACCCATGGCACAAACCTAACCCACCTGAGGGGGCCTGAGGGGTGAGGCTGTGCTCCTAAAGCCAGAGGCGGCAGATGATGAGAGAGGGGCCTGGGGAAAGCCTCATTCAGCCTCTGCCACCGACCAGCCACAGCCTCAGTGACTTACTCCCACCTCTGAGCCTCAGTTCAGATGGGGACCGGGGTGCTGTGAGCCGCTGTAAGTGCTTGTAAAGCAACACCTGATTTCTGCAACTAGTGCCCTCCCCTCCAAGATCCAGAACTCTGTTCAGTAAACCTACAGAGCTCCCTCCCGAGGCAGCAGACACCAGGAGCCCTTCACAGCAGGGGACACTTACTGCCACACTATATCTTTCTCCCCTCAGCACAGTTTTCAAGAGCATCCGTAGGTTTATATCATTTACCTCTCCTTCATCTCCTAAATCCACTCCAGATGGACAGAAATTATTTTTAAATTGGCTCTGCAATCCAAGCAGTTACGTAAACACTGACAATGAGTTCCCCATGCAGCCGGGGGGGGGGGGGGGGGTTAGTGGTGCTCCCCTCTCCTGCAGGGAAGGGCTCCATTCAGCTCCTAGGGCTGGAAAACGGAGCCAGACTACAGGCACAACGTCAAGTGGGATGGAAACCAGACGATGAACTGAGGGGCTATTGGAGGTCCTCCTGTCTCCTCAGCCACTACTGGCCCATCACCCATCACTACCAACCCTTCTTGGTTCAATGTTATAGGACAGACTTGGGGTTCTCAAGGAAGAACCTCTGTGCATGCCCATCAAGAGTGGGAGGCAGTCCTGGTCGAGTAGCTATCTCATGCACAAAAGTTGTCAGCTCAATCTCTGGTTGGGACACATACAGGACGCAACTGATCAATGTTTCTCTCTCACATCAATGTTTCTCTCTCCTCTCCTCTTCCTCCTCCTCCTCCTCCTCCTCCTCCTCCTCCTTCTCCTCTTTCTCTTCTTTCTCTCTCTCTCTCTCTCTCTCTCTCTCTCTCTCTCTCTCTCTCTCTCTCTCTCTCTCTCCCTCTCTCTCTCTCTCTCTCTCTCTCTCTCTCTCTCTCTCTCTCTCTCTCTCTCTCAAAAATAAAAAAATATATATCCTTGGGCCAGGCCAGTGAGCTCAGTGGTTGAACGTTGACCTACAAATCAGAAAATCACGGTTTGATTCCTGGCCAGGGCACATGCCCAGGTTGCAGGCTCAATCCCCAGTGGGGGGCATACAGGAGGCAGCTGATCAATGATTCTCTCTCATCGTGGATGTTTTGATCTCTCTTTCCCTCTCCTTTCCTCTCTGAAAGGATATATACATGTATCCTTGTGTGAGGATTAAAAAATAAATAAAATAAAATAAGGTGGGAGGCAGAAGGAGAGGTGAGGAGCCCCAGACCAAGAGAACAAAAATATTTTGTTAGGGTAATTTTTAAAAGATTTGTTTAAATATAGAAAAACATAAAGAGAAATCAGCCAGTCCCAAGATCAGTATCTTTTTTAAGTAAAGTAACGGGAGGCCATGTGGGAAGGACGCGGGCTCATGGGCAGGGGCTGCCTGTCACTGACTGTGTCACACGTGCTGTCTGGCCCCTGCAGGGCTCCGCCCCTTCCGAGCAGCAGATTATTCCCTGAAAATGAGCACCCATGGATTCCAAACCTTTCTTCTCTCAACTACACAATCCTGTCTCCACATGGTAATGCCCAAGGGCTAACACACACCAGCAGCGGCGCTCTGGTCCACGTGGGCCTGGCCCCGCTGCTCTGCCCAGTCTCCAGCTTTGCCCTGGAGCCTCTCTACCAGCCCTGCGATGCTGCCAGAGAATACCCCCCGCACCCACTGCCGTGCCAAGCATGTCCGACTTGCGGCTGGCGGGCCGCATGCCTTCGCTTCTACAGCCCTTCTAAGCGACTCTGGGTCACAGAATTATGACTATCCTTAGTGTGACGTTTTTATGAGCGAACCAAGTGATAAATGCAAAGGCTTCACCGTGCCTAACCTAAGTAATCTTTTCCCATGTTTTGGGTGTTGGGAGGCAGAATGCCAGCAGCAGGGCAGTTCATACTGTAAGTTGCCAAAATAATCATAACCATAATTGTGTATGAAATTAACAAATAAAAGATCACGCCTCCAAGACGGACAACCGACTTACCCACCCATCAGTCGTTTAAGCGCATAGTTATTAAAGGAACCGCATATGGTGCCTTTTGTTCAGATCCCCCTTTCTTGTCCCCTTAAGTCAGTGGTCGGCAAACTCATTAGTCGACGGAGCCACATAGCAACAGTACAACGGCTGAAATTTCTTTGGAGAGCCACATTTTTTAAAAAGTTAAACTTCTTCTAACGCCACTTCTTCAACACAGACTCGGCCCAGGCCGTGGTATTTTGTGGAAGAGCCACACGCCAGGGGCCAAAGAGTCGATTGTGGCTCTCGAGCCACCGTTGGCCGACCACGGCCTTAAGTGAAGTGTTCTCCTCTGTGGCTTTCAAATGTCCAGAGAGTCTGTGCCTGGGAGTGAGATGACCAAGCGACCTGAGCTCTACCTCTCTGGCCCCCAAAGGAGACAACACAGAACGGGAGGGAGGGGCCGGGCAGAGTCCGCCCCCCATTCCCCAGCAGGAGGCCCGGCCGGGGCCAGGGAGGGGAGAGGGGGAGCTGGAGCAGCCCCCCGCCCTCGCTCTTACCGATGTGCCTCCGCGTGAGCTCCACGGCGGCGTTCCTGTTGACGTTGGAGAGCAGCCCGAGGCAGAAGCGCTCCGAGTTGGAGGGGTCGGTGAAGCCGTCCACCGTCATGGAGGGCTGCGAGGCGTGGAATGTCTCCCCGACACGCTGGTTCAGCTCGTAGTAGGAGATGGAGCACCAGAAGGCCGGCTCGCAGTAGGTGACGGGCTGCAGGTCTGGGAGACAGGCCGGGCTGCGGGTCAGTGGGGGCCCCAGGGCCCTGCTTCCCCAGGGGGCCTCCCCGCCCCGATGCTCCAGAGACTGTTTCTCCGCCTCTCAGAGGGCATCACCACCCCCGCCCTCATGCCTTTTATTGCCTACAGTCTGCAGGATCCCATGGGCCGCCGTACTCAGGTGTGGGGAGAGGTGTCCCACCAGCCCAGTTAGTTTCAGTTCACAGGGCCCTGTCCTGCCTGGCCTGGCCTTGGGGTGAAGCAGGCTTCAGGAGGTGCTGGGCCCAGGGCGCTCACTGCACTGACACAGTCACCTCCGGCCTCTCTTCCAGGGCCCTGAAGTAACCCATGCTGACCTCTGCCCCCAAAGGGCTTTCCACCTTTGGCTCTGCCAGCTCTGGGGCAAACCCTAGCCTGTCCAGCACTGGCATCCCAGCCTCAAAACTGAGCAGCCCGGGGCCTGCGCTGTGCACCGTGTCTGAGAGATGGGGCACCTGGTGCTGCCTGCAGACGGGGCCGGCCACGTCTCTCACTCCAGAAACCACCTCTGGACGCCTCCAGGTGCCACCTGCCGGAGCGGCTCAGACACAAACGTGCCTGAAGAAACCCTGCGCTTGTCCTAGTTGTCTGTCTCTAGTCCCCATTAAGGGCTCCTCAGAGCAAAACGTCTTGTGGGGTGTTGGTTCTCGTTCTCAGAAGACTCGGGAACCCCAGGCATAGAGGTTCTTCTCATGTGATCCCCTGTGACCCCTAGCCTTCCTGTCACCTCCAGCCATTCCGGGTCCCCCAGCCGCCCCGTCCTCCTTCTGCCCACCCCGCATCACCTCTCACCTCCCCGCACTGGCCGGCACACGTCACCCCTCACTCACACCACGTCCCGAGTCCCACCTCTTCCAGCTGCCCCTCTGCACTGCCTGCTGTGCTGGCTGGGAGCCAAGCTCCCATACCCTGCTCTTGGCCTGCGTGGCTGGAGGGACCCTGCTTGTTCTCCCCATCTCAGACCCCCAGCCTGATCCTCACTCCGGCTCTGACACATACTTGGAGCCTGGCGACCTGGGTGTGTCCTGTGGGAGCTGGCGAGAGGCCAGGAAGGGCCTGCCAGGCCAAGACTCAGCACAGGCCTGAGACCCCTGCTCACCACCTTCCTGCGGTGAGAACCCACAGGCCCCTCTGCTCACCAGCCCTTTGAAAGCGTGTAAAGCCCGAGAGAGGAAACCCAGAAGCTGTTCTGAGAAGGCCCGCATCTCCTGGGGACTGTGCCCACGGTCCCTCCTGGGGGCAGACAGGGCGTCTGTGCATGGGAGGTACGGACCAGAAATGGACGTCCGTGCTTGCACACAACACACGCCCAGAACGTGTCAGCCAGGGAGCCAGGACGCCTAGATCCGGTGCTCAGCCGCGGCCGTTGGCAAGTGGGCCAGAGAGTTCTTTGTTTAGGGGAGAGGGGGCTCTGTGTGTTACAGGATGGTTAGCAGCACCCCTGGTCTCGGTCCACCCGTCCATCTCACCCTCGCAGGCTGTGGGAACAAGAAATGCCCCCAGGCACTGCCAGGTGTCTTCCAGGGGACAGAAGCCACGGGTTAAAAAAGCGCCTGCCCTCGCTGTTCACCAGGTCACGGAGCGCCAGCCTTAAGCCCAGGGGGACCCGAGCTCACTCTCCACTCCGGCACGGACCAGCCGTGTGGCTGAGCAAACCAGTCCGGCTCCGAGCTCCAGCTTCCGGATCCCCTGCCCCCACCACCTGAGCGGAGAGCCCTTCCCACCGCCAGGCGCTGTGCACGGAGGGGCAGATACGATTCCCAAGAAGCACAGAGCACGCACCAAGCACTCCGGAAATGGTGAGTACGATTGTAATAACTCTGATTATGTGAACTTGAGAACATCCTGTTCCCCTCCTGACCTCCGTCACCAGAGGACTCTCTGCCCCGTTCCTCTCTTCCCAGGGGGGCCGGAGGGGCGGGAAGGAGGCAGGAGACCTCAGCTCCTCCGTGGACGGGGAGCGAGGAGGCAGGAGTGACCGTGGCCCGTGGCGTGTGCGCCCGGAGTGGAGCGGAGCCACATCCAGCTCGGGCTTTGCCGGACGCTTCCACATTCCAATGAGAGGAGCTATATTCTAAACAATGTGGTCACTAAATGGGAGCTGTGTTGCTTTGGAAACCTTAGAAAATAAATAAACCCAAGTGCAGTTCAAGCATCCAAAGTGGCCGGGCAGCATGTCAGGACCGGAGATACTGGGGAAGGGCCGCCGGCCGCCACTGCCTACAGGCAGGCTCTGCTCGTCTGGCTGTGTGCCCAGAGGATGGGGAATGTGGCTTCCCGCTCCAGCCTCAGTTTCCCAGTTCTAAGAGTGTCTGCAGTGTACTAGAGGACAGCCAAAGCAGACCCTCTAGGCCACATGTGTCAAACACAAGGCCAAATCCGTCCCTCCAGGCCTTGCAATGTGGCCCGCACCGCGCTGTCATCACTGCACTCCGCTGCGTTTCCATCACAATGACAGTTTATGACTGTTCAGTAAACCATTCGGCCCGCGATTTAGGCTGGATTTTAGATTTTGGCCCCTTCTCTGATTGAGTTCGACACCCCTACTCTAGGCCGCTGTGCTTCTGGCGTGAGTTGGCCTGAAGGTGCAGCTGTGACTGGTCCGGGCTGGCCCTGATTGCCCGGCAAAGTGCAGAACAGAAAGAGTCCTCTCCCCAAGTTATAAATTCCTGCCCGACACCCAGGGCTCAGACAGGCAGGAGACCGACAGTGAGGGACCCACCTCCCCGAAGACCCCGGGCCCCGTCAGAGGACGTGGAGTGGAACCTGGCTCTGGAGAAGCATGGACTCAAGAAGTCTGAGAACCAGAGAGGGGCTTAGGGACCTGGCCGGAGAGGTCCTCCCGAGCAGGTTGGAGCCCTTATCCAATCAGCCTGCAACTTGCAGTCACACACACACTGGACAGCGCTGTGGAAAAGGCTGGACACGGGAGCCTGGCACGTCATTGAGGAGATGCGAGTTTGAAGGAGCGGAGCAGTCAGGCCAAGACGGTCTGGAAGCTGCCGTCTCAGAGATGGGCAGTGACCTGCGTTCTGAACCAGAGCAGCACCCTCAGCCCACACGTTTATGATTCTCTGCAAACAATTACAAGCCAGTCCTTGCTGTCCGCCTCTCTCCTTCCCACCACCCCTCCGCTGCTTCCTCAAGGCACTTCTTCTGCAAGAGGAGCAGCAGACCCCGAAGTAAGCCCCCCACCACTGCCGAGTTCTGCCTTGAATGGCACCTCGTTTTTTAAACCTCGCATACGCCCTCATTTTTTCCCCCACCTAAAGACTTAGCCACATCATGGTCAAGTACAAAAGAAAGACAACGTCAGGACCCTGGAAAAGAGAAGGCTATAAATGGGATAACCATAAAATTATAGCTACTGAAAGAACCCTCACCTTGGCTCTGAGCTTCCTAGCAGACAAGGCAAAAAGGGAGAATATGCTACAATTCTCTGGTTGACTTCATACTGGTTCTGCAGGGGGGGAACATGCTTGTTTCAGCACAAAATCTTAAAAGAAGTCTATCAAGGGGGTAACCCTTCCCCTACTTCCATCAAGCCAGTCAGCCAGCCCTGGTTTTCAAGAGTTTCCTGACAAATGCAGACACGATTTTACACAAGGTTGCTTCTTCATAGGAGCCTGAGGACATGCCGTCCAGAGGCTCCTCTGGGGGGATGGCTCTATGCTCTGGTGAGATGCTTTGCCCCAGTGGAGCATGGTTCTGCTTCTCTAGGCCAAGGGCTGGGCACACCGGGGATAGCAGATGATGGGTGTGCCCAAGGCCTCCCCTGCTCTCAGCCAAACCGCTGAGTCTGTGCTAATCTCTGTTCCTGAAGCGGAGGCGTCAGAGACGCGGGCACCTCCAGCTCCGGCCGTGCGCGGCCCCCTGCCCCTACCAGTGCGATGCCGGCCAGGCTTCTCGAGTGGCAATGGGGCACTTAATGCACGACTGGACCCCTGCCAGTCTTACACATGGGCTGGCTCCAGTGTTGAGCCCTGGCATAGACTCTCTGTTTTGTTTAAGGAAAAGAAAACAGAGTAAAACCCAGAAGGCAACACTTGGATGAAGGGAACCCTATTAAAAACATGTGCAAGGAATCCAAATCCGGTAAAGGCAGGGGAAGGCCAGAGGGGAAATGAACTTTCTACTATAAATCGAAAGCAGGGAGCAGGCAAGGCCGGGAGCACGGTGCTGCAGGCTAGCGGGTGAGCCTGCAGGGCTGGCTTCCTCTGGCCGCTCCTCTGGGTGAAGCAGCTAGCCATCCCCACCTGCCTTCAAGCGTCCGTCTCTCCTGCTGTTCCCTCTACCGGGGCTTCCTATCCTAAAGTGACCAGACATCCCCCTGTAGGCAGGACAGCCCCGATTTTTAACAATTTGGCCCGCGGCCCGCGGCGTTTTAAAATAGTCCCAATTTTAAAAATTGGGACTGTCCTGCCAAAAGCGGGACATCTGGTCACCTTACCTATCCCTGACTGTTAGGGCCCTGTACCCTTGGCTGTGGGGCATTGCCTAATCCCTTCCTACAGGATGGGCCCCCGTGTCTGAGCCACCTGCACACCTAAGCGTTATTCCTGCAGGCCCGGGCCATCTGGGTCACCCATTCCTACCCATCTCGCTGAAGGTGAGGGCCACACACCAGGGTGTACACAGAAGAAACCCCACGCACTCAGCCTAGCGCCCATTCACCGAGCCCAGGAACCAGGGCAAAGTCTCGGAGCGGGACCCTCAGGCGCCTGAGGGCACAGCCGGCAGCTGACTTCCTGCCATGGAGATCCCTGACTCCCCTGAGGGGAGGAGGCCTTTGGGAAGGCCGGTGCAGCAGCAGGAAGGGCCTGGAACGGGACCCATGTCCTCTGTCAGGGATCCGGGGTCGTCCCACTGCCTGCCACCAGCCCTTCTCCTGGCAGGAGAGGAAGGCACCTCTGCCCGAGGTCTCGGGAGGAGCCGTCACCTCCTTCACCTCCGCTCAGCGGCTG